AAAGCAAGAACCAGCAGAATCGTTAGCAATGCCGATTGTTCCGCACACATGCGAATGACTTACAATGAGTCAGTGCCTCAGGCATCTGCTTAACCGCTTTCTAGAAATTCGAAAACTGTATTGAATCTATTTGAATTCAGTTAGAACATATTTGCCACTCTGCTCCCCTCACAAACACTAATTTATTAAATTATCGACATTTGGTGTGAACGTCGAGGTGTTTTTTACTCACGGACACCACAGTTGATTGACGCGCGATCGTGGAGAGAAGGGCGTTTTGAGGTGTTTTGCAATGCACACCGACTTGCTCATCTCGAGCTGCGCCACCAACACTCAGATGATCGGCAGGCATTCGCGATCTTATCACTGCGCTGTACGTCAAACGCACGCCCTGCCTCCCTTCCACACGATATCATCATTGGCTGGTTGGGCCTGTGGGTTGAAAGGTGGACAGTTTGGAGCATTGTTGTGTGTTTATAACAGGCGTGAACACGCTTGTCAGCATCGAAAGAAGACGTTGTTCGATCAGCGTCTGAAATGTGTGTGCAAACTGACCATCACCGACAACGTCGATGTTGTCCAGATGCTCGAATTCGGACAAGGGTCTTCTCTACAGACGGAGTGTGAACTTACGAGCACACAGTTCATCATCGACATCATGCGTGTAAGGAGAGGCACTGGATCAGCTCGGGAGAGCCTCTTCAACCTCGGTTTGAGGATTGCTTAGTTCCCCTGCAAAAAGACACCGTCTCCTCTCTCTGCCACAAACACGCGACACTCCGTCTTAGACGGCGCCAACTCGTCCGTTGCTGATGCTTGCTTAATTCGTTCTCCCCGTCAGCCCATGTGGGGTCTCCCATGAGTCAGGCATGATGCCGCATTTTGATTCCGTGTGCCACTCCCCACCCTACACCCACTCCTCTCGCAAGCGCCACTTTGTGCTGGGGCAGGTCTTGTGGTGACGAGACACTAGACGAGATGCAGCCTGAGTTTGCTTGGAAGAAGAAGAAGACCACCGCGCTGACAGAGACGGGCCACCAGGACGACGGTGAGCCAGAGGTATGGCACTATTTGCGATCTCATCACTTCGCTGTTGGTAAAATTCACACATAGGCGCGCACACTGCTCCCCTTCCACAAGATATCATCATTAGTTGACTGGGTCTGTTGGTTAAAAGGTGGACAGTTTGGAGCATTATGGTGTGTTTTAAACAGGAGTGAACAAGCTTGTCCGCTTCAAAAGAAGTCGCTGGTTATTCAGCGTCTGAAGTGGGTGTGTCAAACCGACCATCACTGACAGCGCAGATGTTAACCAGCTGACCAAATCCCGACAACCGTTCTCTTCTACACGCAATCTAGAATTACTTGAGCACAGCTCATCATCGACTCCACGTTTGTGGGGTGGAGGTGTTAAATCATCTCGAGGAGCTTCTTCAGCGTCGGTTCGGGGATGGCATGCTTCCCCTGCAAAAAAGACGCCGTCTCCTCCCACCGCCACAAACACGCGAAGCTGCCTCGTAGATGGCGCCGACTCGTCCATCCCTGATGCACGATTTTTTGCGCTCTGCGTCACCCAAAGTGGGGGTCTCCTATGAGTCAGGCATGATGCCGCGTTCTGATTCCGTGTGCCGACCCCCACCCTACACCCACTCCCCCCAGAGGTCTTGTGGTGACGAGACATTGATTGAGATGTAGCCTGAGTTGAAGTGGAAGAAGAAGACCAATGCTCTGACAGAAACTGCAGACTAGAAATAGGGTGAACCAGACATTAGGCATGATTCGTGTTAAGACAACTTCTGCTAAGCATTTTGTAGAAGCTTGCTGTAATTACACTGCTTAAGAGAACGGATTTAGGCAGCCCACATCGACCGCTAATGACCGAATCGGACCGAGGTTTTGATGTGACTGTCCAGGCCATCTGAGGGGTTCGCTAATATCAGAGAAAGTGCTCGTAAGTGATGGCCAACCAAAATGCTTACTTCTGATTGCAATTCAAATGAGGCAAGACTTGCACACATTGTGAAAGTTTTATATTTATGCATGGTGAATTTGGGGACGGGTCGACAGCCGCAGCAACTCTTTCCACAAAATGCATTGTAAAAGACTATTTTGTTTCTTGTGGCTATGTCACCACGAAAACACGTTGTGATCTCGCTGAAAGCAGCAGCATCATTATCTGCGTTGACTGTGCGAGGGTGAGCCGCTAAGTGATACCGCCACATTAATGGACCACTGACGTCCCCAAACAAAGCACATGATAAGGGAGTGCTTGACAGAGAACGGCATTTTTTTCCGGATTAAAATGTCGGTGATTCTGGAAGTTTTCTTCTCCACTTCTAAAATTCATTACAAAATTAAACAATTTTTCATCATTTGGTTTAGAACAATATTTCGCATGAAAATTAAATCTCTGTTGCGTAATTTGATTAATGAACGGGTAAAAAATTGGTTAAAGGCGTTTAATGAACCAAGCGCTGATTCGTGTTTAAGTGTTGCGCGTTTAACTGCGCAAATCGATCCACGTATTTGTTTAAACAAAGTTTTGTAGACTTAGAACAAGTTTCTCATTGGCTCATGTGTACAAGGTCGCCACGTGTCCATTTTTTTCCGTAAATTAAGGCGTGTTCACACCTGCCGGGGATCGATACCAACACAGTGCTTGTGATTGGTGTTCAACAAGGTCACGAACTGTATTCCCATTGGTTAATGGATTTGAACCCCGTCTTTTTGAAAATGGGCTCTAGCCAATTAACGGTGAGATAGCTCAATGCCTAGCAGATACCGAAAACGGTCGTGTTCTGAACCAACCGTGTTGTCGTCTTGGCCTCATCGTTCGGTGGTTGGCTTCTATCTACACTGACGAGTAAAAACATCCAACGATGGACATTTACGTCGAATCCCTAATGGCTATGAGACGGCATTTTGAATCAGGCTGCTACACAATTGTCTACTTTGTTTTACCCGAAAAAGAATAGCCCATTTAACCCCGTACTAGATATAAATTATGTAAGGTAACCCAAAAAATGTTGGAAACCCGTCTTTTGCTTAAACTGTTGTGTTCTTTACAAGAGTAGCTATCGTCATTCCTCATGTTCCCCCTTCCAAATGAAGAAATGCCGGAAAATGTGATTTTGCGTTTCATTGTTGGAAAGGTATTAGTTTTCGACGCTCGAGGTACCACGAGGCAGACGAGGTTATTGCGACGCCATATACCACCGACTACCCAACAAGGATGAAGTCGGTGGAAGGATAGAGAGTCAACCGTTTATTCGGGTGTCGTGTGTGTGTGTCGTGTGTGGGGTTTGCGTGTGTGCACTTATACCTCCGATTCGTGAGTCATACATGCGCTAATATCGAGACCTAGGTGTGAGGGAAATCCAGGATAAATATTCGTCCAAATGAGGAGGATTCCATGATTCCCCGGTAAAAAAGACGCCGTCTCCTCCCACCGCCACAAACACGCGAAGCTGCCTCGTAGATGGCGCCGACTCGTCCATCCCTGATGCACGATTTTTTGCGCTCTGCGTCACCCAAAGTGGGGGTCTCCTATGAGTCAGACATGATGCCGCGTTCTGATTCCGTGTGCCACCACCCACCCCACACCCACTCCCCTCGCAGGCGCCACTTTGTGCTCGGGCGGGTCTTGAGGTGACGAGGCACTAGACGAGATGCAGCCTGAGTTTACGTAGAAGAAGAAGACCACTGCGCTGACATAGGCGGGCGACTAGGGAGACGGTGGACCAGTTGATTGGCGAGAAACTAATATTGGTTTTTGACAGAGTTGTGTGTTAAGAGAGCGTGTATCAGGCATGAGCACATTCCTCGTGGCATTCAGCGGATCGTGCTTGTAACTCTACTGCCTAACAGAGCAGTTGTACTTTGAACTATGCTCACTGAAGATATCTTCCTCATTCAAGTTTGCCAAATTAACCGCGATTCATCACGGCATCATCAGCTAAAACTACGACGATCAGTTTGAACCAGCTCATCGTAATTCAATACCTCGTTTTATCCACTTTGCTGACTGATTATCCATCAACCTTCCATCCGCTGTCCTAGATGCGCATCAGAGATCTGGTCTGGGTCGTTCGCCGCCATCAAAGCCACCTGCTAAGTGAGCATCTGATATCCCGGTCTGCGTATTCATGTGTTGCAAATCGCTCCAAATTCCCTCATCGACACCCCATCGAGTTCGTGGACGTCGGATAAGGATCACCACTTTAACCTGGTTAGGGATATTAAAATGCATTCAACTGCCTGAATTGGTGCATTTACAGAGCGAGATAACTGCTCACCGTGGTAAATAAATGCGAGAACCAACAGAATTGTTTACAATGCCGATTGTCCGACAAACATGCGAATGACTTACACTGAGTCAGTGCCTCGGGCATCTGCTTAACCACTTCCTCGAACCGCTTTGAGAAATTAGAAAAAGTTAATTTAATTTAAGACTTTATCTGAGGCGGTGAAGGGGTGGTAGTGAGGTGGTGGGTGGTGGTGATGGGGTGGAGGTAAGAGAGGTGTGGGTGGGGTGGAGTGGGGTAGGGTGGGGGAGCAGGCAGGAGCCAGTAGAGGTGGCCAGTCATCGAGGCGTGCGGTGTCGGGGGGTGGGGGGTGGACGCTGCATTTTCCGCAAAACACTCACGCCGCCACCGTGAATGCTGCTCAGTCATGCTGTGCTTGCCCCACCTGCACTTCACCTGCACAAAACGAGAGCGAGTTCGCATGAGTTGGTGCTCGTGTTGGTGAATATCCACGTTTTTGTGTCACACGTTAGCAAAGGCGGTAAATTCGGTTTTGTGCAAATCAGTGAAAAGTGAGTGGTTTATGTCACTTCGACGAAAACCTACCAAAAATGGAAATTCACGGATAGTTGCACATAAATGCAAGCAATATATTGTGAGCAGGTGAAATTTCAGGGTAGGTTGAAGCACACTCATTCCCAAGGTCATTAGGAAGTATGTAACCAATCAAACCATCGGTTGCTTGAATGTTGGCTATTGCACTGATGCTAGTGTCAGCACTTAACCCTATTCCAATTTCCGGTGCCTACTTAATGTCTCAATAAATGGGGCAAAAGGATCTGTGTCAGTGGATCAACTCATCCGAAAATGAGGAACTAATGAAACGGCGAGTGGAATCGGGATCCTCTGGAAGTTCCATGGACGAAAGTCGAGCAACCTAGTTTGCAAAACGATTTGATTCGAATTAAGTCTTCCACATGGTATCAAAATGTTATCCTTTCGTGCAGACGGAGGAATGGAAACTACAACGTCGAACAACTATGAGGACGTTCTGATGAGACTAATGGGCAATCTGTCTGAAATCAGGTATCATAGAATCTCCACCACAGGGCAGATGTCGCTGCTACAAGTTTCTAAGTCGTAGTGGGCCAGTTTTGAGTTTCTTTTGGTGATACTCATTTAAGGAAGCTGGGGGGAATTTCGCCGGAAATCGATTCGCCAATCCTGGAAATTTCACCGATCTTGTTACGGCATAAGAACGGGGAAGATTGGGAAATCGTGTAGTCGATTAGGAGGCACAGGTGACAGATGCAAAATGTCACCTACAAGTAAACGTCGCTTCCACATCATGTGCTTTCGCGTGTGAGGAATGAGGCCTGTTAATTGCTGCCGCCACCTTCAAATGTGTGGTTGCAGTGCTTGTGCACCACAGGGCATGCCGTTCACCTGAATGTCCCTCCACAGTGCATTAAACCACACTAAATGTCCTCACGAGACAGAGGACCGCTCTCGAACAAAATACACAAATTCACTGTTGCGTTTTCAGCAAAAAATTAGTCCAATGCATGCTCGTTCATAGTTCACTGTTTGCTGTATCAACTGTGTGTGTGTGTGCGTGTGTGTTCGTGCGTCGGTTGGACACCAAGGCAAAGGGCATCACAAATCAATAACCCAGTGACCGCCAAGAGGGTGTGCTGCGCTACTAACACAATTTAAATGTCAGCAACCGATCGATAAAATCCAAGATCACAGAAAAGCACCAAACACACAAGTAAACATATTGTCGACATTGCCAATAAAATGCGGAATTCAATTGAAGAAGTCGGATAAGCTGCCAGTAAATTGGATGACATTAAGGCACACGTCCGTCAATTGACCAATCACCTCACAACGATTTCTGCGCAAAATCGTTAAACAAACAAAGAAGTGTTATGCGTCTCAAAGAGTTTTTAAATGGATGCTTTCGGAGTTGTGTTAAATCACACAATTTTGCGAATGCAGCTTAGGCGGACCAACATGAACGTCGGGGGACATTTAGCAGGAATGAGGTTGATGCAGGAGAAGTGTCGGTCGAACCAAAGAAGACACAATGCAAAGAAGGCACAATGAATCGTGCGATTTCGCAACGTCGAATTTACCAGCCCCGTTTCACCATGTCTGATAAGACGTGGTACTAACTTGCACACCAGAAACTCGATCGATTGAAGGGCACTGACAGACGTCACACCACTTCCCCACGTGCACGTCTGTTAATCGCAGCTATCGGTGTCCGTGCAAACAACGATGCCACGTCGGCTTCAGTTTCGTTGAACAATCTGGTGAATGACCAAGTCACCTGTGTGGGGCTTTGTTGACGTTGGTACGAGTCTCCAGGAGGGCGTGT